GAATCTTGCTAATTCCATATTCGTGTAAAACACTTCACTTGGGAATTCCTCGTAAGGGAATGCATTTCCAGACAGATAAATAAAATGAAGATTACATGAAGCAATCAACAGAGGACAAAACTAATTCAAGTATTTTTCAGGATATTCCAGGAACAATGCGAACTATGCCATAGGTCTCAGAATCTCAGAACCTGTATTTGCAAGAACTCCTTATTCGATTCGGACCTCCACATTTATGAATACCATTCCAGATTAATAAAATATGGACATTTTCAAGATAAGTTTTCATGAACATAGACTTTGTCATTTTCAAATACCGATCATAGGTCTATTCTTCTTAGATCATTTCTTCGTGAAAACACGACTTTTATCGGTTTACTAAATGTTGCATACAATCACAGTCGAAGAATTAATCGACATTCATGTAGTATGCGAGTGTATGGAATCACGTCAGGTACCCTTACGAGGGGAGTGTATCAACTTTGGCGTTCGTAATGCCTCTCTACAAAGGAGGGTGTCGCCTTCAAGAGTTAGGTATATACAGTGGTTTTATACCATTTCTTTTTCAAATTATTCATCTGCTATAGGAAAGCAGCAGTCGTTTTTTCAATTGAGCAGTGCTCACAGAAGGGTGGACCTATGTTTTTTTTTTTTCATATATATCTCAACTATAATGATAAATAATTGATTGCGCAATTAGAAAAAGGGAATACTAATCCAAGTTTTTTTTTCAGAATATTTCAGGAGCAATGCGAATTATTCCAGATTTTTCAGAATCCTGGAAGAATTCCATTTCCGTTTGTAAAACACACGAATTACTCGCCAGCGAATGACTTTCCAGGGAATGTCTTTCCAGATAGATATATAAAATGAATATTACATGTGGCAATCAATAGAGGACAAAACTAATTAAATTTTTTTTAGGATATTCCAGGAACAATGCAAGAATTCCTTATTTGATTCGAATTTAAAATCTATGAATGCGATTCCAGATTAATGAAATATGGAGATTTGTAAGGTAAGTTTTCATGAACATAGACTTTGTCATTTTCGAATACAGATCATAGTTCTATTCTATTAGAACATTTCATCGTGAAAACACGACTTTAATCGATTTACTGAACGTTGCATACAATCACAGTCGAAAAAATTAGTCGACATTCATGTAGTATGTGAGTGTATGGAATCACGTTGGCGTTCGTAATGCCTCTCCGTACAAGTAGATAAATAAAATATGAAGATCTTCAAATTAAGTTTTCAATAACATCAAATTTGTCTTTCTTCTGATACAAATGAATATATTCTATTGTTTTTAAAGCACAATGTGTGGAAAACCGACTCTTGAACAGGTTTCAAATTAATTGTAAATGAGAAAGACTCGATAATCGAGAATTTAGTGCAGAAATATTAAAAAATTCGAGGTCTACTAGTAACAAAGACTGAAAGGTTGAGGAAACAAATAGAAAAAATAATAAACTTTGAAAATGAATTGAAATGAAAAGATTCAGATACCTAAATTGATGTTGGCGAAATTCACAATTAAATTCAAGGGTAAGTACAGATCACGATCACACACATAGGATGAATGACAAATTGATATTCATCATACAGGGTGTGGAAAGAAAATTCTAAATTGAGAAATCTCAATCGCGAATCTGCGAATAGAGGTCTATAAAAATAACAAGTTTCCATCTTTCAAGTTTGACCCCTTGATTGGGTATGACAGTATTGAAAAGGAATATTCTCAGATATATTATGAATATGCAGTGGATAGTGATAGCAGTGATATGGGATTATAATCTCTCACAAATAGGTTATATTAATTTATTTGAATGAACTCATTTCGGGTATCAAGCCCTCCTCAGTACTTGAAGTCCAGTTATTCTGGCAGCCATTCTTCATGAAATACACAATTTTCATCTCTCGAAAATATAAATAAAACTACAACCAACTGGCATCTAATAATTATTTGTTGACATTCAATCCCTGTCATCTGGACATTTCATTTGGATGTATGATAAATTGATATTCATCATACAGGGCGTGGAAAGAAAATTCTGAATTGAGAAAATCCAATCGCGAATCTGCGATAAAAATAACAACTTTCATAATACAGGGTGTTTCATAATTGAATGCTGATCCTTAAGGGCGATAATCCTTGGATGATTTCAAAGAGAAAAGTTCATATCAATATATGTCCTAAACATCTTAGTTATTAAGCTACTGGGTGATGAAATTTCAAGAAAAAAATGATTTTTTCATCATAATTTTTTATTACTTTTAGACATTGTTATGATATTTGGTATACACCTTCTCTTTATTGAGGAGCATTTTTTTACGTGAAAGATATTTAAAAATTCTCACCAGTGGCGTCCGTACGGGGTTTGAACTGACAATTTTTGGAGAAAAAAATAGTACGCGACTGATTTTTCTGAGAACCAGATTTTTTTTTCAATTCTTATTCATTTTGGAGCAAATTTGGTTCTTAGACGTACTTTCATACAACGTACCGTTTTCGCGTAAAAAAATAAAAACCAAAGAATCGTGTTCCTTCAGTTCTTGTATATTGTTTTTGGTAATTCAGTAGACACCCACTATAAGTGGAAACACATTTTGTTTTGGGACGAAAATCAAACTTTTACTTTTACCAGTGATGACCTCGTAGACCTGATATTGAATGTTTTGTTTAAAAAAACGCTGTACGCTTCTGATTTTAACACCCTGTAGCTCAAAAACTAAGAGGTTCAGGACATATGTTGATATGAACTTCTCTCCTTAAAATCATCCAAGGATCATCGCCCTTTAGGATCAGCATTCAATTATGAAACACCCTGTATATCGGAGAATATTCCCTTTTTATAACGTAAATTCTGAACAGAGACAATCACGTGTATAGAAAAGCAGTCGGCAAACACCCCGAGTAGCTCAAACCAATCTAGCCACCCGAATGAAATTCGGTAGCGGTTGTGCTCACGTAATTCGTCAATGCATGTTTCTTATCAGACAAAAACAGTCGAATTTCAATAGATTACTAATCAACAGTGTGATATCAATCCAAGGAACTAAACATAAAAAATGTTTCTAAAATGAATTTTGAAAAGATGTAATAATACTATATCTTCAGAAGAATGCAAGACAACTGAAACTAGCGATTGATAAACCGGTCCTTATTGTGATAGATGCGGTGAACAATTTGAAATAGCCAGGGCATACGAAAAATTGGTAACGGCAAATGTATTTTATCTACTCACTGACTCGAAAGTAGGCGTTTGCTCCCTCATTTGCGGAAACAAAGTTATCAATTCAATCCCACGGGAGGTGGGAGGTAAAACAAATTGGCTTCAGCATGCATCCTTTGGCGTCAATATACCTATAAAATCTGTGCAATCCAAGTAATCAGTGTCTCCATCACAATTATAAAACAAATAATAATACCCTTTTTGAATTGCAATGATATCATTTATCACAACTTTCAAATGCAGTTAGTTACACAATATACAAATCAATTAATTCATCATGACAAAAGTGTCAAATTGACTCTTGTTCAAATGCCGTCAACTGTCCATGGCATACTATACCTTTGTAATGCATAATGATGGATCGAGAGATAGACCGCCTGAAGCACAACACACAAAGAATGATGCTTTGAAAAATGCGTTCGTTGATAAAATCATATATACAGGGTGTTTCCTAACTACGGTTCCTAACTGCAGGTGGTGATTCGTTAAGTCATTTCAGGAAGAAAAGTTTCTATGAACATATGTCCGGAGTTGCTTCGTTTCTGAGATACAGGGCGATGAAATTGAAGAAAAAAAATGATAATTAGAAAATATCATGAATATCCTGGAACCGATTCGGTTGAAATTTTGTACTTTTATTTGAACTAATAAGGCGCTTATTTAGCCCTATTTAGATAGGAATTATTGGGGCTAGTGGCGTCTCAGTGGGCACCACAGCCAACAATATTGTGAAAAAAAAGTACGCCACTGACTTTTTTTGGTAAATTTTTATTTTTTTTAGATTGAGCAACTCAAAATACAGCTTTTTGATCCCCTGTATTTTCTTCATATTCAGCTTCGTTTCCGAGAAAAAAAATGAAAGCCACTGTATTGCATATCATGAACACCTGCATTGGAGAAATGAGTTTGTCATTATTTCCGCCAAAAATATAATTGACACTTGATATGCTGAAATTTTAGAGAATTTGACAAATAAAAGTACCAAATTTTGAACAAATCTGTTCCAGGATATTCATGATATTTTATAATTACCGTTTTTTTTTTCTTTAATTTCAACGCCCTGTATCTCAGAAACGAAGCAACTCCGGACATATGTTCATAGGAACTTTTCTTCTAAAAATGACCTAACAAATCACCCCCTGCAGTTAGGAACCGTAGTTAGGAAACACCCTGTATATCATGGGAGGAAATGGATACCTTTCCTCCCTTGATATATAAATAGCTATTATCGCAGCTTGTTTTGCTGTGTTACTAATTATTTATTAACGGCTTACATTTTTCTTATCTACTCACTGAATCGAAAGTGATGTATAAATAACTTTTTTCACAAGAAAACTTTATGATAACATGTATCCAACGAGGGTATGGTAGCTTGAAAGTGTTGTAACCTAATCGCCATTTGTTGTCAGAGTCATTGAAAACAAAATTAACAGATTCACTGGTGCTGAGCCACTTTAATTACTGTGATGCTGTATATGGACCTTGTATTGATAAGAAAGATAGTGAAAGAATCCAGAAAGTTCAAAAATCGTGCTCAAGATTCATCTATGGCATTCGCAAATATGAAAGTATCTCCTTCAAATTGAAGGAAACCCAGTGGTTGAGCATGGAAGAAAGACGTAAAATCCATGCAGTGACTTTATTCCATAATATTATATTCACTAAATGCCCTCCTTATTTATGTAATGAAATAAAATACAGAACCGATGAAATGTATAATGCATATTTATAGTTGTGAATAAATTACTATTATATACCAACCTGGTGCATACGAATCTATTTCCAGCGCCATGTTCGGATTCCTTGTGGTAGGCCAAGCTGCTCGGATGTGCCATAACTTTCCCGCACGTGTCACAAGGGAATCCCTTTGCAGCATTCCCACCATCCTCTCTATCGTGTATGATCGAGTGGAACTTCAGGGTGCTGGCATAGGCGAAGGTCTTATCACATTTATGGCATTCGAAGGGCTTCACCTGATTGTGCACCGCGCGGTTATGAACTTCCAGGTTTTGCTTGGTCGAGAATGATTTGTTGCATTCTCCGCAGACGGATTTTTGGGAAGTGACGTCTGATGGGGGATCTTCCACAATGATTTCTGTTGTTTTCGTATTAACGACACTCTGAAATAATTATTGATGTTGGCGGAAAATGTAACGAGTGATATTGTTTGAATTTTCCACAAAGGTATTTAAAAAATTCAAGTTGATGCGTCGCTTCTGAATACTGTAGGTGATTTCAGTTAATCTGTTCTCTTATAATTTCCAATGGTGAAGCTCGAATGAAATAAACAAAATTTCAATAGATATTCATTATACGGGATGTACAAAAAAATTGGAGGAAATGATCTTTCGTCGAAATGAGAAAAAAATATTCCCATTAACGTATATCCGAAATTGTTTCATCTCCAAGATACAACGTGTTGAGATTGCATTCTTATTTTTGTTTTTCCTTAATAGTTTTATTTTTTTGACATGCAAAATTCGAATTTGATATTTGCATGGCTTCATCTCATGGAGGGCGACACCTACATGTTTTTTTTACTACTTTGAGGAAGAGGTGAGTGGACTACTTTTTTTTATTTGTGGTGAGTAGGGGCAGACCATTGAACAGTTGCCATTTGTTGAAATACGATTGGGAACTTCAGAAATACTAGTTATTCAATAATTCATAAATTCTCAATTGAGTATTGGTATTATTCCAATACAAATTCAATTGTCTCAAAATGTTCCCTTATGATTTGTGGCTTAATGCTTGAAATAAATTTGTGTAAATAATAATTATATTGATTCACACTAGAGGACATTTGAATCGGTGAACGTGACAACACGGCGCACGATTCGTAGACGTGGTCTTGTCAGTTCTCAGCATCCTGCACAATGTTGCCAAGTCTCCTATATTTACATAATATTTTTTTATGGAGAATAAGAAATATTTGGACATGCTGGTGGCTCGAAAAAGTAAAGAATAAATGGTGACGTCAGTTTTTATGCTGTGTCGTTATCGGCCAGATAATCTTCCATTCCCACTCATGAAGCAAGGTTGTCAAGTCATGAAGTCACTAATTATAATCAAGTTATCAAAAAGATATTAGAGTCCTGTCGTAGAATGAAACACGAGATAAAACATGACACGAGGAATTCATGATATTATAGTTCATTCTTGACTTTTTCGAGCAACCAGCATGTCCAAATATTTCTTATACTCCATAACAAAATATCAGGTAGATGTTGAAGACTTGACAACAATATGCTGAATGCAGAGAACTAGTGAGAACCGACAAGACACCGCCCACAATTCGTGCGGTGTTCTTTGAACATCGTGCGTTCCTAGGGAGGATAGGGACAGGAGGTAGGTATTGTGATTTTTTTAACGTTAATCCGTTCAAATGCCCTCTAGTGTAAATAAATTCAATAATTATTATTTACAGAAATGTATTATAAGCAATGAACCACAACACATGTGAGAAAATTTTGAGACAACTGATTTTTTATCAATAATTAGGAATATTACCAATACATAATTGAGAATTCATGAATTATTGAATAACTATCATTTCTGAAGTTCCCAATCGTATTTCAACATATGGCAACTGTGCTATGGTCAGCCCCTACTTACGAAATCGTGACGTCAGTTTTTACTCGCGGTAAATTTCTAGCCGTTTGAAAATCACCGTGGCATTATTAATGATTTTGGCACCTTAAAATCGACCGAAAAATTCTTAAAAAATATGAAATTGACAGGTATTTGAGTGATGATTCTATTTAATAAAAAAAATTGTCTACTCGCCTATTAAGATAAAGTGTTGAGATTGCGTTTTCAGTTTTTGAAATAATACGTCAATCAATATTCGGATGAAAGCTTGAATTTGGTGGTTCTTTGACATGCAGAATTAGAATTTGATATGGCTTCATCTTGTAGGGGGCGCCACCAACATGTTTTTTAAATTATTTTGAGGAAGCATAAATTTTGATTAGATGCTTGTATGTATGTGTTACTATAAAGTGGCACCTTAGGGTTCCTGGCATTGGCGAAGGTCTGATTACATTTATGGCATTCGAAGGGTCTCACCTGATTGTGCACGGCACGGTTATGAACTTCCAGGTTTTGTTTGGTGGAGAATGATTTGTTGCATTCCCCGCATACGAAATTTTGGCAAGTGATAGCCGATGGAGGATTTTCCACAATGATTTCTGTCGTTTTCGTATTAACGACACTCTGAAATAATTAATGATGTTGGCGGAAAATGTGGAGACAAATTTTACGTGATATTGTATGAATTTTCCACAAACAGGCATTTGAAAACTTCGATTTGGAGATGTTGCTTTCAGTTTTTTCATTATTTTCTGTGGTGGGTTCGGAAGAAATTTCAAAATTTCAATAGATACTTATTCATTATATCAGGGTAAAAAGAAAATTCCCAATTAACGTATATCCAGAATTACTTCATTTCCAAGATACAAGAAGTGAGATTGAATATTCATTTTTGTTTTTCCTATATAGTTTTTGAAATGATGTCAATATTTGGATTAAAACTAGCATTTAGGGGTTCTCTGACATGCGAAATTCAAATTTGATATTTGTATGGCTTCATCTTGTAGTGGAAGTCACCTACATGTTCTTTACTATTTTCAGGAGGCATAAACTATTTTATACATGTTTGTATTATATTTTTTAGTGAAAAAATAGATATCATATTTACCTTAAAATGGTATACTAGTTGGAAAATTTCACGTTATTTGATATTAATTAATGTAATACATCCCACCAACCCAATTCAGTTTTGACCTCAATTGTCAATGTTTCAAGATGTTTTAATAATGAAGAGTCTTTATGAGCAATTAATACGAAAAATCAAAAAAACAGATTTCTAGTTGAGAAAAAATCATAATGCTTCTGTACTTACTACATCAATATCTTGATAATCAGTAACTGTTATACCATGATGCCCAGTTTCAGCCTGATGTTGATTTGTTATATTCCTATCATTTTTTCCAAAACCACAATGATCACAAACGTATAAATGGTTATGAGTTTTCTTGTGCAGCAAATAGTGCCCATGATTGAAGAATTCCTTATCACAAATATCACATTCAAACTTTTTCTTGTTTTTCTTCTTCAGGTACCCTACAAATCATCACTTATTTCTAGAAAAAAATTAAAAATACTTCTTGCTTTCTGTTTACACAAATAATTTTAAAATGGTGTTCATATTCAATCAATCAATCAATCAATCAATCAATCAATCAATCAATCAATCAATCAATCAATCAATATAATATTTCATAAACATATTTGATATATCAACTTTGAATTTCAAATGAACTTCTCTATACTTTTTCCCTTTCTTTGAGACATTTTTATTTTGAATTGGAATATTTTATCAGTAGCGTCATTGAGAGACTTAAGGGTTGTTTTTGATGAAGGTATGACTTTTATAGAGCACATTAATAATGTATCAATAAAGTCGTCCAAGATGTTAGGATACATCCTTCGAAACTGTAAGGTTTTTTCTGTCCATACTGTCAGGAAATTGTATATGTCATTGGTGGTCTCTCACCTAGATTATGCTTCTATCATTTGGTCACCTTTCTATCAAATTCACAAATACACTTTAGAACGTACACAAAATAAATTCCTAAGATTCTGTGCTTTCAAGCTTAACGTTGTTATTGAAAATCATGATTATGCATTCATTCGTGGTGAAATGAATTTGCAGAGTTTAAAAAATCGTAGAAAAACCACTGATATTTGTTTTATTTTTAAATTAGTTAATGGAATGGTTGTTTGTCCAAAGTTGTTGGAGTTGATCAATTTCAATGTTCCAAACAGAACATTAAGAAATGCTAACCTATTTAGAATGTCTCACCATGCTACTAATTATGGTCTACACTCACCTATTGAGAGAACATTGAGATTGATTAATGAAAATGGTTTGGACATATTTCATGGGTCTTTTGATAGTTTCAAAACACTGGTTAAATCTGTACTTTGAAACATGGAGCTCTTTTCATAAGTTAGATTTAGACTTAAGACTAGTATTAATAATATTTATCTTTCAAAATTTTTTTTATGTAATGGGGTTTCCCGTAAATAAATAAATAAAATAAATAAAGGGTGTCCCCAATTAAATAGGTCAAAATTTGAGAATCATCAAAATAATAGAAATATGATGAAAGAAATATCGAGGGGACTGTTTAAAAAAACTGGAATGAAAATAATGGACGTAGCCATTGAAAATCAAAAACTCAAAAATTCAGCAAACTTTGACACCTTTATATGCTCATGACAAAATGAAAAATACATATGGAATATTTTTATTCAAACAACTGGAAAGAAAATTATGGACATAGCCCTCACAAGGATTCAGAGGTAGACACGTGTTTCGGGCTCGGCCCTCATCAGTACCTTATCGCCATATACGCGGGCGTAAAGATTATGGAGATCCTATGTATAAAGTATTTATTATTATTATATTTTGAGAAAAAAAAAGGGAATTCAACAAAATACAGGGTGTTTCATATAGAAAATATATCAGTTTGTGTGGTATCTCCAAAACCAAACCCCGAAAAAAATGTTGGAGTACGCCACTGGATTCTGTGCAGTCTCTGTTAACCATAGTTCTCAGTGCAGCATTATTCCTTATAACCTGCTAGATATAGAAGGTGTCCAAAAAGTATACAGGTTCAAACTGGACCTGTATCTTATGAACAGAAACAGGTATGCAAATACTGATTCAGATATCATTAGTTTCACAGAAAAAATAGGACAGGAACATGAAAAACTCGAGGCTCCTGTTCATACAGCAGTTGACTTTATTTATGAATAACTAGCTGACCCGGCAAACGTTGTTTTGCCATAAACATAATTTCTAGAAAATATTTTTTTAGATAAATATTCATCAAAAAACTTACATTATTTTATTTGAACTTCTTTCTTTTTAGTTTGGCTATCCATAAAAGTGGGATTTTTTAGTTTTTCAAACTATTCTATTTATTTTAGACTTCCTTTTAGTCTGGCTCTCTATATCTCTTCATTTCATCAAACTACTCTTTATTTTCTACTCACTTCTTTTTAGTTTGGCAATCATTAGTTTTTCAAACAACTATTTTTAATAGTTGATACCCGGCAAACGTTGTTTTGCTATATACATTTATTTCTAGAAAATATTTCTTCAGTTAAATATTTATCAACACACTTTTATCATTTTGTTTTCTACTTCTTTTTAGTTCAACAATTTATCTCGTTTTTAAAACTATACTATCAATTTTCTACTTCTATTCAGCTTGGCTTTGAGTTTGGCTATTCATAAAAACATATTTCAATAGTTATTCAAACTACTATTTATTATAAAGCTCTATTGCCATATAGGATCCGACATCTTGAATTTCCCATTTTTAAAGAATACAATTATAATCTAGGACCCTGAAAACCCCCACATACAAATTTTGAAGAGAATCTGATCACAATTACAAAACTCGTCCATCACATTGGATCCTCCATCTTTAATTTCGTATGTTGATGAAAAAATCATAATCTCTGACCCAAAAATCCTCCAGATACAAATTTAATTGAATGGAACCGGATCATAGTTATAGAACTCGTCCGCCATATTGGATCTGCCATTTTGGATTTCCAAATTTTGATGGAAGAATCATTATCTCCCACTCGGAAAACCCCCAGATACCAATTTTGAATCGAATCTGATCATGATTAAATAACTCTTCCGCCATATTAGATCCGCCATTTTGAATTTCATAATGTTGACGAAGGAAACATAATCTCCGACCCAAAAATCCTCCAGATACAAATTTTGGATGGAACCGGATCATAGTTATAAAACTCGTCCGCCATATTGTATCTACCATTTTGGACTTCCAAATTTTGATGGAAGAATCATTATCTCCCACTTGGAAAACCCTCAGATACCAATTTTGAATAGAATCTGATCATAATTAAATAACTCGTCCGCCATATTAGATCCGCCATTTTGAATTTCATAATGTTGACGAAGGAATAATAATCTCCCACCCAAAAATCCTCCAGATACAAATTTTGAATGGAATTGGATAATAATTACAAAACTCGTCCACTATATATTGGATCCGCCATCTTGAATTTTTAAATTTTGACGGAAGAATCACGAACTCTGACCCCAAAAACCTCCAGATACAAATATGGAATGAAATCTGATTATAATTAAAAACTCGTCTGCCATATTGGATCCGCCATTTTGAATTCCCTAATTTTGATGAATAAATCATACCTAATCTCTGACCCTGAAAACCCCAGATACCAATTTTGAGTAGAATTGGACCATAATTAAAAACTCCTAAGCCTATTGGATCTGCCAATTTGAATATCCTAATTTTGATGAATAAATGATAATCTCTGACCCAGAAAATCCGCAGATAACAATTTTGAATAAAATCAGATTACAGAACTCCTTGGCCCTCTTGAATTATCAACTTAAAAAAATGGATTATGATTGATTCTCATACATATGGAATACACAAAAAACTAATTTTCATATGAATCAGTCCTGCCATTTCTAAGGAGTTTAGGCACTAACACCATGACTGCCTGACTGGGACAGGAGAATTAAATATATATCAGATTTTTTCATCTTTTTTGCATCCCCACACCAAAGTCAGAACTGACTCCCAAATCAGTGAAGGGTTGATGAGTAGGAACTTATATAAAATGGACATTTCACCTCACATTACACATCTGAGGATACAAAATTACCACATACCAATCTTTGATTTACTTTTATAATTATGGAAAAATACAGGCTGTCCTAAATCTTCACCATTTCCATTCTCTGCTCTTCCAACAATTATTTCATCATGTTTTTTAACACAAAAAATATCATTCTTTGTTATAATCTCATCATCCAAAACACCTTCTTTTTTGAGAATATTTTCCAATTCATCTCCCTTAAAATTAAATTTTTTCCATAACAGCTTTCTGGAATTGAATATAGTCAAAACTTACTTGTACAATACCTTCAAATTTCACAGGAGCCTTGATTTTTCTCTTTTTAGGCCTATCATCTTCTTCAAATTCATTCTCTTCCAGTACAATGTCTTGAGGTGAAGGTTCTTCAACATCTGTCTTATCTAATTCTGTAACTTGGGACTTTGATGGCCTACCCCTTTTTTTCTTGGGTCTTTCTAAACCTTCAGCTCTAAGAGCCAACTCATGCTCAGGTGGAAATAATGGACCATCTGAAAGTACTGAAAAAAAGCCATGTTACCAAAATGTTTGTTCAACCTTTAAAAAAGTAGGTACTCTGAATAAGGAATTTGTCTCCATCTTCATCAGACTGTATGGTGAAGCTTTCTACTGAACTATTGGGATTCACATTGTGCAGGGCTGCTTCCAGTTGCTGTTTTTGCCTTGTTTCTTTGATGTGTCTTTCTTGCTGATTTCGAAACATATTTCTCAGCTTAACTTGCCCTTCTATAATGAGATCCATAAATAACTTCATAGATTCCAGTTGTATGTGACATCCTGGGCAAATACGTTTTGGAAACTTTTTGTCGTCTTGGATCTGTAACAAAAATTTGAATTTCCCTCATTCTGGTATATGAAAGAGGATAATCAAGTTCAGTACTGAGACACTTTTTGAAACTTACCTTGATGGGTAAATACTTATTCAAAACTAATGATAATTCAATCGATTCTTCAGTAATAGAAAATATGTCTATTCCATGATCGTTATTTTCAGAACATAGTCTACAGAAATTGGAGTAATATAAAGATTTTCCTGCTTCCATTTTGATTTCTAATTTCTAATGTTTATTATCCTTCTCAAAATTGACCCATGTTAGGTTATATTGAGGACATTGGCGTATCATACGTAATTTCCACATCATGCTTCAACTCCAACATAATATTTGTGAGGCAGCGACGTTTTACCAAATGGGATATTTCTTACTTAGGCAGTACCTATAAATAAATGAATTTTGATTTCAGACTAATAAGCCTCATGGTTGAGAAATGGTGAAAAATTGTATGGAGGTATTCAAACTAATGTGCTCATATGTCATGTGAGCTGTATATATATAGGTCGCGTGCAAGAACTGTCAGATGACCGACCCTGGAGGCAAAACATATTTGTTTATAAGTGATCGAAATAGTTTTCCACAATTATTTTGGCATATAAATCGTATTTTTCCGCTATTCATCAATTCGCTAATGCCATCACCTTGTGCTGTTGTAAAATGCACAAAAACTGCAGCGGAAGATGAAGAAATCCGGATGGTACTTTATGATTCAAAAGTGAGTACCTACTATAGTCACTCACATAGTTTTCATTTTTGAAATTTGGTTATTTCTCTGATTTCTCATCGGAATTCCTTCTGCAATAGGATCAGCTAATAGAAATATACCTGAAATTTCTAGAATAATGCAAGAAGATTGGATTCATGCAATCAATCGGTAGGACTGGTCTGACATGCTGACGATCGTGTGTGTTGTAGACATTTTCAATCTATTAGCAGCATTAGCTTGTATTGCAGAAGGCAGAAGGAATTTTAATGAGGAATGACAACATTTCATAATGCTAACTATGTGAGATTACTATTTACCTGAAAAATCATATTCCCTAGTCTCTTGCTGCATTTTTTGTGCATTGTACAACAGCACAATGCGAAGGCATGCTTGAATTAATGAATAACGCAAGAAACACGATTCGTATGTCAAAATATTGTGAAAAACTATTTCAATCTTTTGATTCCTCTGAAACCAAATAAAAAAGTGAGGTTGTGTTTCAATAATTCACAGAAGAATGAGGTTGTGTTTCAATAATTCACAGAAGAATGAGGTTGTGTTTCAATATTTTGCCTCCAGGGTCGGTCTTCGTGCACGCGACCTATTCATGTTGGGAATCATTTTTGCAGTTTTTCACGAACACTTTTAATACTACCTGAATGTAGGTATAATTTTTTGAATGGGATGTTATCAAAACTGTTTCTACTAAAATGCATTCAAAAACTTGTGGAGTGGATAATTATAGGCACAATGAGAAAGTATAATATGTGATTTCGTATTAGTTTTACCTCGAATATTTTGCTGATGTATTTATTTTCCCTAGGGTCCCTTGATGTGAACTGACGTATTTGTCATCTTAACAGGGTACGGACAGATCCTCGTCTCTTCTCACTCTAAAGTGTTTGTGAAACAGTTATATGTATAGTTTTAGATTTTTGACATTTGTTGTTTTTTAGGTTATATTGTGGTCATTGGCGTATCATATACGTAATTTCCATATGGAATTCCTGATTCAACTATACCAACATATAGATGAACAATCCTCTAGTTTTAGAGTTTACTGCTTCAGCATAATCTTTGCGAGGTAGGGAACATATAAATTGTACTAAAAGTTTAATATATTCCACCAAAAGAGACTGTTCTTAGACTGTATACCAGGGTTGACTGAATAAATTCTGATTTCAAGCTGAGCAGTAGTTTATCTATGAGCTAAGCCTTATGATTGAGAAATGGTGAAAACCCTGTTGTGGGTATCTAAACTACTGTACGACTCATGTCATGTGTGCTAAATATATTTTCGGAAATCCAACTCGGAGAAAAGTTTTTATAAAACTTCGTCTATGACGAAAAGTAGACTGATAAAAAGTGATACGTAAAATGTGCAGGAAAATAAAGAATAGAATATACTTTACCCCCATGTTGAAAATATGATTTTTTCGTCTCCCTTAAATAAAGAGTCATTTTCAAATAATTTATTGATGAAAGTAACAAATAGAAGTAGGTATACAGTATAACTTTATAGGCACGTTATTTTCACTCTTGCATCCTACATAATTTCAATTTGTGGTAGAGTATAAGAACTAACGTAGTGCGAGTGCAAAATTCAGTGGTGCAAAACTGGTGCAAAACCAGTACCCCACCAGGTTTACGAATGGAATTCGCTATGAGCCATAAAAAGTCAAGTTTATTTTTTGTTGTTGTGAATGACATTTGCATAGGTTCAATTCACGTTTAATTTCAGATTTTACTTGACCAATCAGAATTCGAAACGTAAAAAGCAATATGTAAAAAAGTTTGGTTGTGTACGCCGCTTAACCCGTCAGATAGTCTAGATATTTAGCCGTCATTGATCAGGTTGTCACAGATTTAACAAACCTTTTACTCTCGTGGACGGACCTTAAACTGACTGACACTAGTGACTTATTGACACTTTTATCACTGACACTTTGATACTTGTCACTCTTGTCAGGTTCAAGGTTCAACTCTTCAACTTTCAAGTTCACTGAACACTGAAGGCACAAATGACAAAATCTCGTCAAATCCTAAAACTGAAATTCGGACAATGTAAAGTGTATTTGTAAAAAAATATCAGTTTGAAATATGGATTGGGTGATATCTGATGAGTTGTCTCTAACTGTAGGCACAGTTGTGGGATGGGTGAGTGCTGGAGCTATGATAGTAGGGGGTATTATCCCTTATATTCCACAATACAGACAGATTCGAAAAACGAAAGATGCTGAAGGTTTTTCCTTATTAGTTTGCTTAGCCCTTCTAGTCGCTAATACTTTGAGGATCATGTTTTGGTAAGTGTCTGAACTAATGGGATTTTGTTCTTTAATGGTATTGATGCATTCTCTTTTCTTCTGCAGGTTTGGCAGACATTTCGAGTATCCTCTCTTAATCCAAAGTTTAATAATGAATGTAATGATGTTTTTGATGATCCACTTGTGTGTATCAGTAAGAAATAGGAGCCAACTAGTGCAGGCCAGGCAAAGAATTTTTCTTGGTATGTGTAATTTAATAATCAATAATCAATAAGTTACATGCCTCTCTAGTTTGCCAAAAATCTATTCCCATGTATTTTTAGTTCAGAAAACAACCTTGAAATGAGCTTACTATTAGGTCACATTATTAGGTTGTCTTATTTTATTACCCATTGGATTCTGATTACTATACCTACCTACTTACCTAAATTTTGATTTACATTTTTTTAAATTCCTTTTGATTTCTATATTCTATTTGTATTATGGCTACCACCTACTTAGTAGTTGTTTCCTTTTCAAACTTATGGAATTATTGCTTTTCATGGGTCATTATGGAATCTTATGTAAAATAAATCCCTCAGATACATTCCTATTTCATTCAACCATGAATTATTGCTTTTGTAACTTCCCTGATTATTTTTTGTTGGCAGCTAAACCTCAAGAAGTTAAGCAGCTACTAAAATCAAAGCCTCCCAGCTCCACTCACAGTATTTGTGGTAATTTGGCTTGCACGCTTCTGCTTCATGCTTGTTCATTTTTCAAACAAAACATACTAACTTTCATAAACAATATAACATACAAAATATTTTTCAACCAATCAAGTATCTCTTCAAATATTATATTGCAAGTCTGGTGAATGAATCCTGATGAACAAAGTGTGTATGATATTTGGTGAAAATATTTCTCTTTATAATTGGTTCCTAATTTGAATATATCTTGGCAAATAGTCCCCTTCAAGTTATTAACAACCTCCATTCTGGTATTCATCAGTTTCCATCATTTCCAGTTCATTGATATAAAATACATTCATAATTCATTCATTATTTTTGTTCATCAATTTTTTGTTTCAATGTAAATATTTACTCATTAGTTGGATATTTATAAATCAAGTTCTGATGAATGACCTCCTGAATGACAAAAAATATTGTTATGATGATGCACTATCATCCAAGTATATGTATTGAAACTTTTTGAAGCCTTGTTTATTATTTGCACTGGTTTCTAAAATGTCACAACTCAATTAGATCTAAACACCTCGCTAAACACAAAAGATTCTTTGGAAATTTGAAAAATAACCCAGTGAAAAGAGAGTATTCCTCTAGAATGCACTTTCATCAAATTTCATCAAGTTTGTTTCACTCATTTTTGAACAGTGAACAAAGTGTTTTTTTATTTGAACTTTGAACCCTTCTCATGGAAAAACTATACATCTTGGTATATATAAATAAATTTAGTTCAATCAACTTATTTTCACCTCTATTACATGTGGTAGCTCTCTGTCCCAGCAATTGTGTCCACCTTGTATAATTGAAAGGAACAATGTGAATGATTGTTCAATTTACAAGGAACTGTAAGATTTTTGAATGACTGTTAATAGTATTTGTATTATTCATCATATTTCATGATAAAAGGTCACATAATTCTAATTACTATAATAAATAGAAGATTACATTATCAGTTATAAGATATAGATATATTGATATTCTTCATTCATTTGAATGTATAAAGATTAAACATAAAAAATGTGACAAAGTATAAATGAATTGATAGGATGCTTAGGAATATTCCTTCAAGGGAATAATCATACCCTGACTCTGTTTCCCAACTAGAAAACTGGGAATAAATATTCAGCTCAAAAGGGGCTTTCAACAATGATTAAGTGTCATCTGACTGTTTTACTGCAGCATATCCACAAATGTTGAAACATTGATACAATCAATGAAATTATCTGAATCCTATAATTTATTATTTACTACAAAATTGTTTCTCCTACCTACTCTGAGAATCGATAAGAACCAAATTCCACACACTAATGCATAATGCTATGGAAAATACCATTGTCTGCTAAATATGGAGAAAAAATCTAGGGATACTACAGCTCAATAGATTTTGTCTACATATATAGCAAACAGTGGAAAATACAAATAAACATCAATTGCTTCAATTGGGTTGATTGGTCCTGGATTAAATTGCTCTGCAACTCAATCACAGTTTCTATTTATAACATTATCTCTATTATATCATTAATGGACACTTGTCACTTTGATATATCAGTTGTAATTGGAAAAACTTTGATTAGAAATGCACATGTTTTCAAGTGATGCACAGACTATTTGGAGCTCCCTCACCTATCAGACCTTGAACTTGATCATGTTTCATCGATTATATTCATGACAAGGAAGTTTCAAGTGGCCACTTTCCTAAAATTTCAGAGTATAAGGAGACTACTATTGATGGAATGACTTACATAATATAATGGATTAAATCTATTTTTTACTTTACTTATTATGAAATATTTTTTTTTGTCATTCAGTCACCTGACACTCGAAATATGATGGTAGTAAATAAAATAGTATACAAACCTCGGTAGGAAGTTTCATTCCTGTCTCGAAATTATAGCTAACTAACTAATCTCACGACAGGAATGAATCACTTCCCAACTCGGTGTGTAATATGCTATTATTTACAACCATTATATTTCGATCAAAATTAATAAATCTATGTTTCATTCTGAACATTCCTGAATTATTACATGAGTGAGGGCGGGAAGTGAGGGCGGGAAGTGAGGGCGGGAAGTGAGGGCGGGAAGTAGTGAGGGGCGGGAAGTAGAGGTGTGTGACACTTCCCAACCTTCAATGACGTTAGTAATGACAACATTACATATACAGGGTGTTTCCTAACTACGGTTCCTAACTGCAGGAGGTGATTTGTTAGGTCATTTTAAGAAGAAAAGTTCCTATGAACATATGTCCGGAGTTGCTTCGTTTCTGAGATCTGAGAAATTAAAGAAAAAAAACCGTGATTATAAAATATCATGAATAACTTGGAACCGATTTTGTTGAAATTTGGTACTTTTATTTGTCGAATTTTCTGAAACTTTAGCATATCAAGTGTCAATTATATTTTTGGCGGAAAAATGAAAAACTCATTTCTCCAATGCAGGGGTTCATGATAGATTGCATATTTAATTTTTTTTCTCGAAAACGAAGCTGGGTATGAAAAAAATACAGGAGACCAAAAAGTTGTATCTTTAGTTGTTCAATCTTAAATGAATAAAAATTTTCCAAAAACAGTCAATGGCGTACTTTTTTTTTACAATATTGTTGTCTGTGATGCCCACTGAGACGCCACTGGTCCCAATAATTTCAATCTAAATGAAAGTACCAAATTTCAACCAAATCGGTTCCAGGATATTCATGATATTTTGTAAATACCGTTTTTTTTTTTCAATTTCATCGCCCTGTATCTCAGAAACGAAGCAGCTCTGGACATATGTCCATAGAAACTTTTCTTCCTAAAATGACCTAACGAATCACCACCTGCAGTAAGGAATCGTAGTTAGGAAACACCCTGTATAGTTGTAAATAAACTCAATTACATTATTTTTATTTTTTTCTGTGACGGGAAAAAAGTTTGGCATTTCATCTCTGTTGGCAGGTTATAAAATGTCACTTTTCATAAATTACTTTTTTCCCGTGGGAAAAAAGTGAGTACTTCTTTCCCGGATATATATCACATACATATACTCTGTTAATGGCTTTTGTTGTGCTATAATTCCGAAAAATAAGTCAATAATACCGTCTCCGAGAAAGAACTGCAAGTCTTTTTATCTTCCATTCGACTTCGCGGTTTCGTATATTACTTAACAACTACTGAATTCGCAATTTTTTAAAATCAAATCACAGAATTGAACTGACAGAAGTGACATCAGATATTTGATTACTTCAAAAGAATGATGAAGATGTATATAAAACGCAGGTGTCCCTACTGTTTAAAACTTGAAATTTCACGTCGATAATTTTCAGATTTCGAAATAATGTAATATCTTCCCAATATTGATTCGTCCTTCCTTCTGTCACAGAAAAAAATAGTGTATTATACACGGGAAAAATATTAGATTTTAGCTCACGGTTTTTTGTCTCCCTCCGCTACGCGTCGGGAGACAACACAACCTGGAGCTAAAATCTACTACTTTTTTCCCTTGTATAATAAATAACTATTTTTCTGTGACGGGAAAAAAGTTTTGCATTTCATCTCTGTTGGCAGGTTATAAAATGTCACTTTTCATAAATTACTTTTTTCCCGTGGGAAAAAAGTGAGTACTTCTTTCCCGGATATATATCACATATATATACTCTGTTAATGGCTTTTGTTGTGCTATAGTTCCGAAAAATGAGTCAATAATACCGTCTCCGAGAAAGAACCGCAAGTCCTTTTATCTTCCATTCGACTTCGCGGTTTCGTATATTACTAAACAACTACTGAATTCGCAATTATTTAAAATCAAATCACAGAATTGAACTGACAGAAGTGACATCAGATATTTGATTACTTCAAAAGAATGATAAAGATGCCTATAAGACGCAGGTGTCCCTACTGTTGAAAACTTGAAATTTCACGTTGATAATTTTCAGATTTCGAAATAATGTAATATCTTCTCAATATTGATTCGTCCTTCCTTCTGTCACAGAAAAAAATAGTGTATTATACACGGGAAAAATATTAGATTTTAGCTCACGGTTTTTTGTCTCCCTCCGCTACGCGTCGGGAGACAACACAACCTGGAGCTAAAATCTACTACTTTTTTCCCTTGTATAATAAATAACTATTTCACTTGTCCATTACTGCTTTATAATACCTTGGCAACAGTTGCTATTAACAATGAGAAGAAAAATGGAAAGAAAATGCTAGAAGCTATGAACCGCTTCTTAAAATCGATTTTTCGGAGGTAAATTCATGAGAAATAATGTTTTTATTGATAGATACATGTTCAATTGTATGAAAGTTTTATTGTCATGGCGAAAAATCGACTCTTCTATTAACCTTGAATCCTTGAATCAGGGGAGTGAAAAAATTGCGAGAACTTGCTGGAGCGAATTCTTCTACTTCCCATGATTCGAGATTTTTTGCCAAATGACAATGATATTGGAATACAATTTGGAATGTATTTATCTAAAAACACATTTCTCGAATGTACTTCAGGGAGATTAATACACAACTACAGTATAAAGACAAAAAGGAACGACGTTGTGTTAAGAAAACTCGGAAATTATCAAAGTATAGAAGTGTGTTGATTGGAAACAAGGCATATTTATCGGTCATTGGGAAATCTAGGTAGCTTTTTTATCACTACAAATGCCTGGTGATTGGTCGATTTTAGGAAATTGAAGAAATCTTATTGGATCTTGGAATAGGCGTGTATTAATCATTATAATAAGATAATTTTTTCGTGAAGAATAAAATCTTATATGCACCACGAGCGTTACTAGATCCTAAGGCCCATCGGGCATAACTAATTATAAGCTCAAAAGTCACAGTAGTGATGTAGACGAATTATGAATATACAGGCTGACTCTGACAAAAAACGCCCCAAACCATAGCGACGCTATTAGTTATCCGATTTTGGAAACAAAGAAAGCAAATGAAATGACTCATTAGGTGCTCATTAGATACTATTAGTAGGCTCTGACTTCATTTTTTGAAACTTCAACTGTGACGTCAGCGGCTAATGGGCAGTTCAATGTGCATAAAATGGATTTTTAATTAAAAATCATGCAAACCATACGAAATATTCTGGTAATGAAATTTGATCACCCTGTATATATTCTTTACAAGATATTCAGAAATAATAATTAAACTATGAACATTAAATAAAGTATTCTTGCTGCAGTTGAAGTAATATCCTTGGTGTATTGTGGTTTCCGGAAGTTGACGTTTTCTTCTTTTATTTTTCTCATGTTTTTTTGGGATGGAGATGATTTGAGTAGTAATGATAGGGTTGTTATTAATAGTGGATATAGCAAATATTTTTCTTGTGATATTAAAATGAGAATGTTGACAGGGTTATTATCTATATTTTACCCATTAGCTATATCATTTAATATTGGTTTTACAGAAACGTTTATATGGCCAAAAATAATATTAGTACAAAATGCAAAATAACTTCGTGAACCCAAAAATTCTACATGAACTGGTATTTTTTAAATGGGACACCCTGTATTTTATTTTTCTAAACGGTAGATCTCTTCTGATTTCAAATATACAGACAGGATGTCCCTAAAAGGTCTTTACAGAAATTTACCACCTATTTCTCAGACCAAAACAATCTGATATAAGCAAACTCACCTCAGTATAAAGTTGCTTAGTGTGGGCCCTAAACGGCTCTGAAGTTATAATTTTCAAATCTTTTTTGCTTCATAACTGATACGTTGGCATATAGCTTCATTGGGCAATGAAACCCATATCATGATTATGATAAGTATCATTCTTTGCGCGTAGAACTGGATTTTTTTAAGTGAATAAACATCTTAAACTTCTACGCCAATGGAAAGAATAAAATTTGGATTACGTAACTTGTTAACATGCTGCTGATTGAATTCAGGGCGCAGGCGCCCAGTGCTGACGGACTCGTTCACAAATATTTCTTGCACAGAATGCTAGCCCAAGATGGGTCTCGACAAAAATTAGCGCCAAAAAAGCCATGACGTATGTATAAGTCACGCGCACTGAGCACTATAATGTGAACGCAGTGCTGATGACTCATTCAGAAGTCACGTACGTAAAACAAAATCAACAGCTAAATCAATTTAATAGTCTCTTCCATTCAAGACAACATTTGAATACGGGAAAATCTAGTGGTATTTTATTTGTTTTTGTGAAAATGACATTCCATTTATTTTCATGAAAATTCTGGAAACAATCGCCAATGCAAAGGTATGGTGTACCGTAGCATGTCGAGGAATGGTATGACGTGTTGCTCTTTATTTTCAGATGATTCCAACAACAGGTGCAACGTCTGGATATGGCAGCTTTACCCTTGGGCCCTTGGGGATTTTTCTTTGGAAAGTGCGCATCTTTGTTTATTGGCGTCTAAAAATTCTCCAGGGACTAATTTGTCGATGATATTCATCCGATTATCATAAATTGACATTTTTGATTTCGTAAATCTCTTATATAACAAAAATGAATTGATAAGAAGCATTTGCAGCACCTGAACTCCAAGCTTCTTGTACCAGCGAATGGTTTCCTTCTCAGTTCTTATCCTTTTGGATAAGATGGCCCCGCCTCTTCAGCCGCCATTACTATTGTTTATTTTTTCAAACATGTGCAATATCAATACCACGTTAACACATGTAAACTACCGACAACCGATCAGCGCGATACTGCAGCTGAGACAACGCGCGAAAATTAATATGACCGGTAATTGATGCATAATTCATAGTTTTAGCGTTAGTTGGCGTTACCTATTTATTCCGATATCACAAACTCAACTAAATGCTGAAACATACAGAACAGATGACGCATTAATAAGTCACGCGCACCTGGCGAATATAGCTCATGACTTATTAATGAGTCATGAGAAGCGAACGTGTTAACTACAAAAAAGGTACTCTTGAAAAAAGTCGATTCCTCTCACGGTTTCGACAAAATTTGAATTTTAGTAATTCAAAGCATCAGTTAACATTGAAACGATCAACAAAACATAGATACAAGCAAATTCACTTCAGTACATAGTTGCTCAGTCTGGGCGCTAGAAGGCTCTGGCGTACTCAGTACAAAAAAAACAACAAAAAATAGCTGATAGCACATTTCAATTCTTATCGTCGTATAAATCTTTGTATGCGTGGAAATATGAAAATTTTGAACAGTTTTTATGAGATATCTGTTAATCGTTTTAGTGTTGACTGATGCTTTGATTTACTAAAATTCAAATTTTGTGGAAACCATGAGATTAATCATATTTTATCAGTAGTACCTTGTTCGTATTGAACAAGTTACGCAATCTAAATTTCATATTCAAAAGTCTTTCTTCCCATTGGCGTAGAAGTTTTAGATGTTCATTTACTGAAAAAATCAAGTTCTATGCCATGTAATGATATTTATCATAATCATGATTTGGTTATTATTGTCCAATAAAGCTATGCTAACGTAGCAAGTTTGTGGTAAAATCTCATGAGTCGTTTCAAAGTTATGAAGCAAAAACCATTTGAAAATTGTAACTTCAACTAAGCAACTTTCAACTGAGGTCAGTTTGCTTGTATTGAATAGTTTTGGTCTGAGGAATATGTGGTAGGTTTTTGTGAAGACCTTTTAGGGACACCCTGTATATGTTTTATTGAGTTTATCTTTTGTCAAATTTTGGAAAATATAGATTTTCTGGTATAAAGATCTAAAGCAGACCTAGAACGCCAGACGACAATACTGTGATTTATAGCGTTCTACAGCTGCCTTAGAATCTAGATAATTTGGAAACTGACAAAGATAACCTTATTAAAAGATTGGAATCAGAAGAAATAGCTCTATCGATTGGGAAATTGAAATAGAGGGCATTCCATATGAGAAATACCAGTTTGTGTATAATTTTTAGGTTAACGATGCTTTTTTGTATTTTCTAGTGATAGATTCTGAATGCCCATAAAAATGCTCCATTTTTGCCCATTTGAACGTTTCCCTAAGAACAATATCAACTGAGATAGCTATCGAGTGAAATAAAAACAATCACCCTGTACACCAACCCCTACACCAACAAATCAACATCGATTATGGTGTTGAAAAGGAATATTCTCAGATAAATTATGAACATACAAAAATGGATATATATTTATAAAGCAATCATTGAGAATAGGCATTCTCTATGTGATGAGAATATATACTCTTTTTCAGTTTATTCAATAGAAAACAACTACTTTCCTGGTTAAAATTGGAGATTATGATAATTCTCTATCAAACGGACTTTCTTCAGATTCATTTCGCGTGTACTGTCTAGCATTAATGTATTTGCGAAGTGTTTTGCTGGGTACCAGCAAAGCAATCCTATCTAACGTGTGCCCATGGGGGAAACCTTTTTTTTACAGATTTCGACGCTAAACACTTCTGGAACTGGACGGATTTTCAGTCGTACTTCGACTGTATTCTCGTGTTCACAATAGCCACCTCCTTGTTGATGTACATATTCATAGATTACATAGTTTTCGTCGAAACCGTCGGATTTTTGGCTCTCTTCACCGAAGCTATGCTCGGGACGCCGCAACTTGTGAAGAATTATCGGAACAAGTCGACGGAAGGCATGAGGTCAGTGAACTATAGTATATTCCAGTTAAGAATAAAGTAGATGACATTGATAGGAGTGCTCGTTTTACACTAGTCAACCCACCAAATAAAAATATCTTGAGGTAGAGTATATTTTGCGGAACACAAAATTAATGAAATCATCAGTTTTTGAGTGAATAGCAATAATTAATAGTCAAAATTGAGGCAGTACCTTGGTGTTTGTGGCTAGTAGAACGGTAACGGATTATTGGTGGAACCAAATATAAAACATTTATAAGTAAATCATAATTTTAAATGTCTTGGCCTATGCTGCATACTTTTTTGAATACTTTTTTTAACTGACCTGTATATTCATTCATTCGGATGGCTGCTATATATGAATAAACATTATTATTCGCGATAGAAAATAAGCGTACGTCACCTATCGGAGTTCTTGAAAGCTGTCAAAGCTGCATGTTTACTTTGTTTTAATTGCTTCACATTTGTTTTTTTGTGCTTATTGATCGTATCATCAAAACAAACGGCTCAGAAGTGTTCAAGTTGCCGTTAGGTGGGGCGACGTATCATTTTCTATCGCGAATAGTAAACCATCTCATCTTTCGTTTTATTCAGACTTCTCAAGGACAGCCAACCGTTCTTCTAACCACTTCCATTGTTCATGCTCCATAACTTTACAAATTGTTTATCGAATCTTTACATTTTATAGGAGTATTAAAAAGGATGGCATTTCTCAACATGGCAGTTACGGAGAATAGCGGTTGTGTTTCACTGTGGTACCCAGACGTACAATAGCCGAATCAGTCTCTTTTGCTATTTTGCCATTATGTTGCCAATTACATGCCCTTTGTGTAAACTCGCCTAGCTTCTAGCTAGACCAATCAAAAGCGAAATTCAACTTTTTTGCGTAAAAACGGTTGTATCTGAATAGCATAATTTTATTTTACAGTGAAGATGATATATTATATCTCCAAAATATGTTAGTTTTTTTTCATGTGAAGGTGTAAATATTATTTGGCTGAATTGATATTATTTTTATAATGATATCTTATGATTGAGCTTGGTTGCTGGTAGATTATATTTCTGGAGTTTCAACTAAAGATGAACATTGAGAATGTAACATTTTTAGTTTTGAAACAATCAAGCCTGAAGACAGTCCCAAAAGTACCTAAATGTTGAGCATTTCCAAATTATTAAGGAAGTTCGTGGCATTTCAACTTGAAGGCTCAAGAGCCTGAATACCTCAGCTTATTAAGAGGTCGCCGGGCTCCGGTCTCTCGAAATTTTGACTATCTTACTTGGTTTATTGATTGAAGGCGCAGAATGTTGAAGCTTCTCGCAATTCTATAATTTTTTGTGGCTGTTCGTGTACACGAGTTACTCGTCACTCCATTAGTGCCTTTGACCAATCAGCACTCTGCATTCGCCAAAGTATAAGTTCATGAGTTTTGCTTTTTGTATCTTGAAATGTGCATTTTTGTCTCTCTAATATCCAGTTTGTTGAGGTGTTACCTCATAAAGCAATGACCAGCCTCAGTTCATTTTGCAAGGGCATGAGCAGTTCCAATGTCCTTATGCCCTGGTACCTGCATTAGAGTCGATTTATTGGCCTTTTCCAGTTCTTTCTAGTATGCGCCTTTGCCATCTATACAGATTACAGAACAGTGAATGGCGCATCGATATGGATGCATGTGTAAGGAGGACATGTTTTGTTTTGCCAGCCATCAGCCTCTCTCTCGTTGGTCAATTTAATTGGTTGGCCTTTCCATCTTCCTTTAGGCGGTACGCTTTGATTCAAAAGTTTTCCCGTGATGGTTGGACATTTCTTTCTGAGTGTCACTCGTTTGTTCGTTTCAATCCCTCTCTTTCTAGCAACGATCGAGTGGAGATATATTTATGATAAGATCTCTTAATCCCATAGCCATCATAGGTGAAATGAAACTTTCCTCGGCATTAAAAAAATTCATATGCTTCTATTCCTTTTCAACTTCAATTTCGGAATTGGTAAGTTATATTTCGGAAAAAGTAATCTCGATTTCAGAATTGGTTAGTTCGATTTCAGAAATGGTGAACTCAATTTCAGAATCGGTGAGATGAATTTCAGAAAAAGTCCATTCAATTTCAGAAATGATAAGTTGTATTTCAGAATTATTATTGGTAGGTTCAATTTCAGAAGATGAAATCTTTTTATATGTTTGAAATGTTTTCAATTGCAAAAGAGAAGACTGTTTACAGTGGATGGAACGGTGTTTGAGAGCCCTATGTTGAATCAGATTGAACATAATATATGGGGTGCCTCAGGAGTGAAGAGCTTCTTGCAAGAGCATCGCCAAAGGGTTATAGCTGGAGATCCGAACAGATTGCTCAACCAGATAGAATTCAGACTGGGATGTCTTGAAGAATGTGCAGATCATTCAATGAACATGATAACACCTCAAATGTGTTTGCATTCTTATAATCATGTGCAACGCCACTATCTTCCAGCGATTCAGATGGAAGGCATCTGTGGATTAAATTCTTTTTGAAAAGTTGAATATTTTAAATATGATTTGTTAATCTCACATGCAATTGGAAACATTTCGAACAAATATAAGGATTTTTTTTATGATATTGAACCTACCATTTCTGAAATACAACTTACCATTTCTGAAATTGAATGGACTTTTTCTGAAATTCATCTCACCGATTCTGAAATTGAGTTTACCATTTCTGAAATCGTACTAACCAATTCTGAAATCAAGATTACTTTTTCCTAAATATAACTTACCGATTCCGAAATTGAAGTTGAAAAGGTATAGTAGCGTTGCACATGATTATAAGAATGCAAACACATTTGAGGTGTTATCATTTTCATTGAATGATCTGCACATTCTTCAAGACATCGCAGTCTGAATTCTATCTGGTTGAGCAATCTGTTCGGATCCCCAGCTATGACCCTTTGGCGATGCTCTTGCAAAAAGCTCTTCACTTCTGACTTGAAGGCACTCCATATTATGTTCAATCGGATTGAAAATAGGGCTGTAAGGTGCCAATCTGTAAAATATAACATCTTGAAATTCTTCCTCCATGCATATCTCTTCTATTCTTGAATGTGCAGGTGCATTATCCAGAACTACCACTATGGTATCTGCAGGATGCCCATTTCAAACGCACACTCTCAAACACCGTTCCATCCACTGTAAACAATCCTCTCTTCTGCAATTGAAAACATTTCAAACATATATAGGGAATGGACTTTTTCTGAAATTCATCTCACCAATTCTGAAATTGAGTTCACCATTTCTGAAATCGAACTAACCAATTCTGAAATCGAGATTACTGTTTCCGAAATATAACTCACCGATTCCGAAATTGAAGTTGAAAAGGTATAGTAACATGCCCAATTATAATGATGGTCTAACCTCAAACTGCTATTACTGTGGTGTAGGTATCTGATCCCTGAAATATTCTTTCTAATTTCAGCATAAGCATGGTCATCATGTGGACAGGTGGTGACATATTTAAGACCACGTACTTTCTGTTGCGCGAAGCCCCGGTGCAATTTTGGGTGTGCGGTTCGGTGCAAGTTACGGTGGATCTTCTGATCCTCTCGCAAGTGTTCATTTATCGAGGTAACGCCGAACCTAAACGGACAGGCCCGCATCGGGGCGATTGAGTAGTTATCATTTGGACGCACGACGAGATAAACCACAAAGAGAAAAGGCTCGCTGCTGTTCCGAACGAAAAGATACTGGACATCGTACATTTGGTCAATAGCATCACGGAAGTGGTGGTAGATGACGGCGGGACTGTCATGGGCGCTGAATTGGTCAACCCCGAAATTGACATAATCGAAAACAATTGTCGTGTTATTAGTGCCGATATCCATAAGGAAGACGATGATGAAACATGTGGAGTGTCTGACGGTACCGTTGTAGATAATGTAAATAGCAAAGAGAAATTGGCGGTGAATGGTACGGTGAAAAAACGAGCTTCGCAGCATGTAATTTATAAGAAGCGCGCGAAGAATAAAGTCAGCATGCTTATACATAGGCATACGTTATGACATTCACTTTTGGATGCTTCCATAAAATTTACCAGAGAAAAAGGTCTTCCTTGGTCTCCTATATCATTAAAGTTTTCTGCCTTACCTAGGCCATTGTTGAGGTTGTTCACTGAACTTTCACTTGTTGCTTTCGTTTGAAGAGTACGAACACAAAAGCGGCTAGCAATACTCAGTGATGTCAGATTGTAGATTTTCCTGGCTGAATTGGATTCTTCGAAAGGTGAGGGTTCCAATACGAGTGAAACATTAATACGTTTTTCAATCCACTACTGAGGGTTGATTAATGATGATTTTTTTCAGTAAATTAAATCTGCCTTGCACCTTATACAAGTTGAACAAATTGTCAATTAAGTTTTCTTGTTTGATTAGATAAAAGCAATGAAGTAATGAATAAAGCTTAAATTTTTAAACATGAGATGCTGTGTTTTAAATTACTTATAGGGAACATTTTTGATGATGTATTCTTGATTTGTGTAGATCAAGAAGTCTTCAACATTTTGAAACATAATAAATTGAAATTGAATATCACGTTTTCGAGCAAGAAAACAGTTAATGACTTCACTATTCAAATATGGTTAATCCGTTATAAAAAACCCTGTAATGCCTAAATATATGGTGCATTTCTTGCATATTCACAATCTAATTTTCAGCACAAAGTTGATATGAGAAGCTGCATATCTGGCAACACTGAAAATATTCGTTACTGTCATAATTATGTTGATATGCATTTTCATGAAAAATAATACAAAATTGCTAGTTTTATTTGTATCTGAAAAATTTGCCAAAATTACAGTTCTATTAATGAATATATCTTCCCACTTTCCAGCCTCCCTGAATACTACTGATTAATAAACTAGCGGCTAACAAAAACAAAAAATTGTTTATTAAGAATCTAGTCAATTAATGAGGATTCATAATTCATATACCAATCAGCGAGATTGCACCATTTCGAAATACGTAGCTTACAATATTATAATTCAGTTAGAAACAAATAGAAATTGCTGTGAGTAAATCATGTTGATTATAAATTGTTATTTAGGATTAATATAAAAAGATATATCTCCTCTTGTGAGGAACCATCTACGAAAGAGGGTACTTCATAACTATAAAAGGTTTCTATGAGTGATTGTAATATCGCAGTGACCGTTGAAATATCTTCTCCGCCACCTTTCGCCTATGGAGATGCTTCCTATGACAGTAAAGATTATCAGATATGGAATAAAAATATTAGATTCTCTATGAGTAGAAAGCGGCAATTGGAAATACTTCAATGGTCACTATGATACAGTCTTTTATATAAACAAATCAATTATTCTGTGAGTGAAAGAGTTTGCAAGTTATTTTCTGAGTGTCAATCTTCCTGTCATATCATTGGAGATTCAGGAAATCACAATATTCTTTTAGCCTCAGTCTACTAATCTGAATCTGCTTGGATGAAATGATGGACAAATTATGGTGAAGTTGGGGCATTTTCGTGATGTGATTGATTTTCAGAATGTGGAAACAATATCATCTGTATTAAGCTATTCCAAATGTTTATAGATCTTCCTAGTCTATGATAAAACATTTATGTGGCGGTATATTATGCCTCGTGTAATTATTGGCTTATGTTGAAATGTCATGAACAAACAGTTCATTTGATGTCTCTAAATAATATGCTCACCATGTTGCTAAATTCAACAGTGATGTCCATCAATATTCACTACATATTCATATTTGATTTGTTGAACAATCTATCATTTGATAAAAATCCATCAGTTGGTGAATTTAAAACACGGATGCTCTATCAGTAATGGCTTTGGTCACTCAATACTTATTTTGTCATAATCACTGGATTACATTATCATCTATTAAAGGATGAATATCTGAGTCTTTCATCTAAAACATTTGGAATAGAATATATTATAATTCTTCAAAATAAAGTGACATTGAACTGGGATCTCCAAGAAATAAATGCCATGATAATCTGGCAGTTTGTCTTTGAACATTTTAATAAAATCATCTCATCGCACACTGGCGAGCGGAATTCATGATTGCTTCCTGTAAGTTGTCGTTTTGTAGAGGGTCTTACCGCCCGTTCTAGAGTACCTATTGCAAACCAAAAAATAGTTTTTATTATATTATGAAGTTGGAATGTTACAGATTTTGGCATTTTCATTAGTTTTGGTGACGCGCGTGTATCCTTCATTAGTGAAAAGGCAGGAAATGTCAAAAAAGTTTGTCTTTCGAAGAAACAAATTATTTTCAGTACTCTCAGTATGGAATTGAGTGTTATTCAATTTCATGGACCTATTGTTATGTGAATAGTTTTTCACAGTAAACACTTTTTATTTCATTATTACTACTTTTAGCTTGTCAAACATTCCAAATAATTCAGAGAATATTTGATATCAACTTGTTAGAATATGATATTTTCAGTTTCATTTGAATTTTGTAATTGGCGCTAAAATATCCAAAAATATGTTTGTAAAATTTTGTGTTTCAATCTTCATGATGAAAAACATTTAGTTCCATCAGTTTGGACTGTTATGATTGTAATGAGGTGTAAAGAATTCTAATAAAAATGAAAAAAGTATGGAAAGATGATGAGGAAAGTGGAAATTATTGGTGTTAACTGTAATAGTACTTTACTACTGTATTCCTTAGTGAAGTTGTCTAATAGAAAAGGGTGTGAACCTGTGATATTTGCGAAAAATGAGAATATGGAAAAAATGTATACAAATTTCAAGATGAGCGAATTTGTGTTTATTTTAGAAGACTCTGGAAACAGCTGGCTTGATAACGCGTAACGCGTGAGGCTGACCTTTATATTTTATTTATAGTTGAGTTTCTAATGCTTCCATGTTATTTCCTAATGAGGTCTTACATAGTAAGTACTAGAAGTACATTTTCGAAGGCATCTATCTTCTTGACTTCGTTTTTTTGAATGTATATTCCTTTATTTTATTGAGTTATATATTTACATAATCAAACTGTTTGTTCTCTATTTTTTACTTTATTTATACATATCAATCAATTCATTTGATTGTATTATAATATTTATTATTTAACATGTCACTAAGGTACATTCACCATTGTTATAGAATTTATGTTAAAATCTCTTTATTGCTAACCAAAAATAATAAATGATTGTTTATTTCTTCGAAAACTCGTGATTTTATACACAAACCTTGTACAAAATGTAGAAAATAAAGTGGATATTCTGAATTTTAGGTATTTATATATACAACAATAAAAAATTCATTGTAATGCAAATATCGCATATCTATTAAAAATTAAATAGGGTATTGTTTTATCCATTTTTGATAGGAGTGATTTGAAGGTATGTCAACAGAGAGTACCAGAGCTCTCATGTGAACTCGAGTATGCGCAGTTTATACACGAGAGGTGAGAGGGACTCAAACTGAGTTGAAAAGTCTTAAAGCTGCAACGAATTCTCACTGATAGCCTTCTCAGACAGGGAAGGGGCGTTCAACAATATAATCTCCAGTGCTGTTACATGTGAAATGGAAAACTTGAGAAAATCGACAAGGCAATCTTTGAGTTTGTCAAATACATGCTCTGCAGCAGAAAGATTCACGCAAAGATCTTTGGCTGTCAGATACAAGGAGTGGTCAACAGGGGGACTCTGCAGTGGGGAGTGCTTCCACCCCTACTGTGGACCCTTACACTACGGCTTTCTCCAGAGAATGCAAAGGATATGAATTAAAATTGTGGCATGTGCCAATGATATTGCGATTGTGGTTTCAGGAAAATTTCCAGAGGCTGTCGGATGTCATATAGGGGACACTAAATGAACTCGTGCACTGGTGCAATAAATGCGGCCTTAGTAGAAACGCGGCAAAACGGAGCTAGTTCCCTTCACGAGTAAGCAGAAAGTACCCTCCCTTCGCCTACTCAATGAAGTAAGCCAAGAAATAAAACTCCAAACGATCTATAGGTACCTATAGAACTTGTCCTTGACCGAAAGCTGTTATGTAGAGAAAATATAGAGGAAAGGGTGAAAAAGGCAATAGTTGCGCTGTACACCTGCAGAAGAACCAGTGGAAAACAATTGAGACCTAGCATTGTCCATTGGTTATTATACACGGCGGTCGTAAGACCCCACACTCATGTATTTATCATTAGTATGGTGGCCAGCCCTAGACATGTAAGGAGCTCAACTGGAAAAGGGTGGGAATGGTACAGCGACTAGCTGCCGTTCTCTTGACGGGGTGTCTCAGGTTAGGACAACCCCGACTAAAGCCCTGGAAATGATCATACATCTGACTCCATTAGACCCACCTTAAATAACACAAGACTACACGCAACCCACTCCGAAGTTCGACCGCAAGTTCTTGGTGGACATTCCGTCCAGAGAAAAGTGAACAGCGAACCTAGTTCAAGCCAAATGGGACGCTCTTCTATACAGATGGCTCAAAACTAGAGGGGAGAGTAGGAAGTGGAGTCTTCTCAGAGTCCCCACCCCTGAATATATCATTTCGTTTGCCGGACTACTGCACTGTTTTCTAGGCAAAAATGGTAGCTATAAATGAAACAGCCAAATGGGTACTTCAAACCGGAGTTGAGTCCAATGAAATTTCTAAGTGACAGCTAAGCTGCCATTGAGTCTCTAAACTCAGTCTACCTCACCTCAAAGGCGGATATTCGCGATAGAAAATATGCGTACGCCACCTATCGGAGTTCTTGAAAGCTGTCAAAGCGGCCTGTTTACCTTGTTTTCATTGGTTCACATTTGTTTTTTGTTTTGTGCTTATTGGTCACTTCATCAAAACAAACCGCTCAAAAGTGTCCAAGTTGTTGCCGTCAGGTGTTATTTTCTATCGCTATGTTCGCTATATGTTAGCATCTTCAGAAGATGCTAACATAGTTAGCAAAACACGTGTCGAGGCGTTTGAAAAAAATCGGTTTGGTTAGTGGTAAAACAGTGTATTGTATGTCTAGGAAGCACAAAAAGTACTAAGGAGTCATTACTATTTGAATTACACTCC